TTTTTTTTTTTGAAAAACCAATAATAAAAAAAACAACCCATTAAACCTTCACTCCTTAGTAATGTATCCCTCCTTCCTGCCCTCAAACCCAGGCCTCATCAGCTTCTTCTCGCGCTTGGCAATCCTCCGCATCTTCTTCTCATTGATCCTCCCCTGGATGTTTTCTTTCCTCTTCCTCTGCCTCTCATCCTTCATCTTCGTCTGGGTCTCGACTCTCTCCTTCCATTTCTCAGCATTCTTCTCCCTCTTCCTCTTCTCTCTCTTCATGCTCTCCTTGATTAACCGCGCATCGTCGTGGACCTTCACGCCCATGGCCCGGCTGGTGGCTGCCTTCCACGACTCCCGCTCGGCCACAGTCGGATTCTCCTTCTTCACCTCCTGCATTTTCTTGGCCAATTCAAGTTCCTTGGCCTTGGGCAGTTTCTTCTTCTTTTTCTTTGCACGCTTCCCCTCATCCTCGTCTCCTAATCTCACCTTTCCATACTCGATAATCTCCTCACCATCATCGCCCTCATCCGAAAGATCTCCCTTTTCACCACTTCCACCGTCATTTTCCTCATCCCTTTTCCTCTTGAACCCATCATTTTTCGACACCTTCTGGTGAACTCTCCCCTCTCCCCTGTTTCCCCTCAGCAGCTCGATTTTTCGTCGCAGTTTAGCTCGGAGCTCCTCGTAGGTTACAGACTTCGCCTTATCATCCTCGATATCAATCGGATTAGGCCGGGAGTCTTCCTCCTCAAGACCGGCGCCATCTTCGCCGGCAGTACCTTTGCTATTCTGTTGCTGCTGGAGGAGGTGGAGGGTGGAGGAGGGCTCACCGTCGGGGTCAAAGCGGTGGCGGCGGGCGAGCTTGAGGTTCTGTTTCGACTGATGCTTCAGTGAGGCCTTGGCGGCTTTGGAGAGGCCCTGGTACCATGGCTTCGAATCGGCATCTTCTCTCGGAAGGTAGAATCTGGCGGGAATCAGTTCAATCAAGTGGTCGAAAAATCCGCTGTGCAGGTGGATGGCAGATTTGAGGTCAAAATCGACGGTGCCGGCGGCGTCGGCCGCCACAGTTGTTTGCTTTTGCTTCTTCTTCTTCATACCTGCGGTGGCATGTGGGTGTGGAGTGAGTGCGGATTAGGGCTTTTAGGGTTTGGGAAGCTGCATTTATAAATAAGAGATCTGAAGGGATTGGAGATAAATGGCAAAAAGTTTGAAATTTATTTATTTAATTGAAAATGCGTTTCTTTTAGGAGCTAACTCAGTCGTGCAGAGCTGATCGAATGCTCAACGCGTACAATCGGTTCGTGCATCAAAGAGGTCCACACGGCAACAGCGGACTGTGCGGAGCAGCAAACTGTGCGAGATAGCGCGGCTGATGTGGCAACCGCGCAAGATAACATGACCGGTGAGGCGATCATATGGGACCGCGCGACCGGTGACGAGACATGCGAGACATCTAGACCGTCGCCGACGACCCGAGAATCCCGCGCGATGCTTGAGGCGCAAGAATGACAGGCGTGTCATGAAGGGCAAGTCGACTAATTTTCCTAGTTTAGCTATTGTTATATGTCTTTTCTTAGTTTAGCTATTGCTATAAGTATGTGTCATGAGGGGCAAGTCGACCAATTTTCCTAGTTTAGCTATTGTTATATGTCTTTTCTTAGTTTAGCTATTGCTATAAGTATGTTCCTAGTTAGCATAGGTATTTGATTATTATGATAATTACTAGAACATAGATATCTACTTTCTTTAGGATTAGTATTTCTCTTCTTTAAATAGTCTATGTAATTATTTTTTATTTCAAGAAGCAATAAATATAATAAAAAACAGTTTTTCGAGCACAAAACCTCTTGTGTTAACCAAGGCAGTTTGTGCAGGTTACCACAAACCCCAATCCACGATACATGATTTTCATCATTGGTGCATTCATTGTGATTGATCGATCGCGTATCACCATGACAAATCGAGAGAGGCATGACAATCAGGAGGAGAGCTTGCGGACCATGAGCGACGGTCTTCATTCTATGAACCAGACTATGGCCAGACTCGAGCGGCTGATGCTCATCATGGTCAGGCAGCGAGCACGTCGAGGGGGAAACTTTGTTTCATCATCGGATGATTGAAGTGATTCGGATGGGGAACACGATGAATTCGAGAAGGAATCTAACAACTGATCACGAGGCTCAAATCATCGTGAGATGTGCAGGTTCGAGAGGCCGAAACTAACTCTACATACGTTCAGCATGATGGATCCGAATGCTTGGCTAAGTCATGCTAATCAATATTTCAAGATCAATGAAATTACGAAGGTCGAGAGGGTGACATTTGTTGTCTATTATCTCTATGGGGAGCCAAACGTCTTGTGGCAATGGATATCGTGTGTTTACAAGAAGAAGGATACGCGGATCCGTTGGAAAATTTTTGAAAAGCATCTGATAACGCTGTTTGGATCGTCGGAGTACCACGATTATGATGTAACCTTGTCACATAATCGACAAGTGGATAGTTTACGTGACTGTCAAAAAGAATTCAAGCGCTTAAGTCGAGGGCGCAACTGGCTGGAAAGAGCGCTGGTCAGCACGTTCATCAGGGGCCAAAAGTTGGACCTTGTTGTCGAGGTGAGACTAGACCAGCCGAAGACTATGCGTGTAGCCATGAAGGCCTCACATATGCGAGACGAGCGTCTGGCCGCTATGCGCAGGGGTAGCAGTGCAGGCCCATTCACAGACAGCACGCCCCGAAATGGAAGTGAAGCGTCACCGAGCAACCTAAGGTTGATACCAGCCGAGGTTCGGCGACTACCTTGGTATGAGATGCAGCGACGACGGGAGAAGGGCTTATGCTTTAATTGCAATGAAAAATTTACGACGGGCCACAGATGCAAGGAAAAGCAGTCGTTTTTTTATCGAATTACCCGATTCTAACAAGGAGGAGCGCATATAAGCGAGCCAAAATACGACACTGAGCCCACGAGTATGATCCAGAGATATCAGTTCACGCTATGGCTGAGACCCAAGTGCCTAAGATAATGAGGCTACTAGTGCGGGTTCGGGACTGGCGAGTTGTGGTGCCAGTTGACAATGGTTATTCCCATAATTTTTATTAATGTTGCATTGTCCATTAATTTGAAGTTACCAGTGTCAAATGTGGAGCCTTTTTCCATGAGTGTTGCCAATGTGGAGTATTACGGTGTTCGGAGTATTTTCGGGCCATACCTATCAAATTGTATGGCGTTACCTTGAAGGTTGATCTTTACGTGTTGCCTTTGGTAGGTCCTGATGCAGTGGTGGGATTTTAGTGGTTGTAGGGCCTAGGACCAGAAACCACGTATTATAGGGTCTGGATGATGGAGTTTTGTTCGGAGGATAGGCTGGTCTGTTAACGATCGATGCCAATGAAGGCATCAAGGAGACGAGCTTGAAAAATATGGAGAAATTATAGAATGATGGCTGCCAACGTTTTGTTGTCAAGGCAGAAGGTGGAGCCGAAGGGACCGAGATATCACCGTCGCATCATTACGAGATTTGAGAGTTATTTGAGCAATTCGGTGAGGTGTTACCCAAGCCGAAGGGGCTTCCTTCGTGGAGAGCCATTGATCACCATATTCCGTTGATTGGCGAGATCTAGGTTGTACATTTTCATCCATACTAATACGCTCATTTTCAGAAAACGCAGATCGATAGACAAGTCGGTGAGATTCTTGAATCGGAGCTAATTAAATATAGCATGAGTACGTTTTCCCCACCGGTGCTACTCACGAAGAAAAACGATGGAACTTGAAGATTTTGCACAGATTATCGGGCCTTGAATGCAGCAACCATCAAAGACTATTTTTCTGTTCCGAGCATTGACAATATGTTGGATGAGCTAAAAGTATCACAATATTTATCTAAGTTGGATCTAAGGGTCAGATGCCATAAGATCATAGTGGCAGAAGCAGATATTCCTAAGATGGCCTTTCGCACACATCAAGGGCACTATGAGTACTTGGTGATGCCTTGCGGATTGTGAAATGTGCCTTCAACCTTTTCAGTTTGCCATGAATTCAATAATTTGAGAGTTCTTGCACAAATTTGTCTTGGTAATCTTCAGCGACATATTGATCAATTCGAGAGATTAAGAGGAACACTTGGAGCACTTGTGCATGGCCTTATAGATTTTGGCCAAAAATTAGTTTCACAGCAAACCATCCAAGTGCTCATTTGGCTAGTAGACAGTAGAGTATTTGGGCCATATAATATCCCATGAGGGCGTGAAGGTTGACCCTCGGAAGATCGAGACTATGGTGGAGTGGCCGAAGTTGAAGAGCTTGACGGAGCTAAGAGGATTTTTGGGGCTAAACGACTACTATCGAAAATTTTTCAAGGACTATAGATCGATAGCCAATCCATTGACACACATGACAAAAAATGAGGATTTAAATGGGCCATAACAAACAAGGTCCCGTTTGAGCAGCTCAAGAAGGCGATGACCACCACGTCCGTTCTGGCCATGCAAAAATTTGACGTGATGTTTGAGGTGCATACCGATGTGAGTGATACTGGGATTGGGGTTGTTCTTACACAAGAGGATTGACAAATTGTAATTTTTAGCAAGGCGTTAGGGAATATGCGGCCTAGTTGGTCGGTATATGTGGAGGAGATACTAACAGGACCGAGTCGTGGCGTAATATTTGTAATAATTTAGATTGATATATTATGATATTTGATTGTCTTTATTGTTGGATTGTGCATCATTTTTGTAGATAGTTTTTCAAGAAATATGCCACACGAGTCGTAGGGCAAGTGATACGAGTCGTGTCGAGTCACACGAGTATGTATACGTTGATTGTTATGAATGTTTGGGACTGATAGAGATTGAGAACGTATACATTTATTGTTACAGATTTTTTCAGTTGAAATGTAGTATAACATTTGGAAATAGATAAAACATAAATGAATTAGCAAAAAAAATAAAAAAACCATAAAAACTTCATGAATGTTTTACAATAAAACCAAACATCAAACTTCTCTACATCACTGCTGGGCTCTGTCCCAATTCAACCTGCACCGAGCCAATAAACCTTCATAATGCGCCACCAAACTGGAGAAACCCCCTCGCAATCCCTGCAGAAGTCTGATGTCAAGGAGAATAGACGATTGACTCACCATATATATATTAAAAATAAATACTGTAATGAAAGAACATTAACTGAAATTGAGTAAATGACTTACATAAATCGGTATTGTCGCGCGTAGGGACCGCATACTCGTCTTGCAGACTATCACCCAAGAGAATAGGATGGGAAACCTGAGCGTACCACTCTGAGTAACGCTGATCGGCCTCTCCTCCATGATATGTGGTGGGGGTGAAAATAGTCAAGTCAGCGCGCGCCACCACCGGGAACTAGTGCCAGGAATTTACTGCATGAGTATCAACATGCTCAACCTTGTAGAGCCTAGACTAACAAGCATGTACTGCATTGGATGGACGGATCATACGGGGAGGGATAATCTGAATGAAGCCTAGCGGACGCATAAACTGCAAAGGCAAGTACGACTCCACAATATCGCGGTACGTAAGGCATCTGCAATAAAGGTCCTAGGCTCTATCGAAGTTGTGTTGGGGTTGTATGTCAACCATTGCACCTGTTCAAAATTGCATACAAACATTTATTAAAATAATTCTATTGTTTGAAATAATTTTTAACTAAATTTAAATAAAATAATTTAACATACATCGGAGGCGGTGAAAGTACCAAGGCACCGACAGATAGAGGTAAGACGTTCTGACCTCTCCGTCATCTCTACGCTCCACAAGCGAGATCGTGCGACACAGTCAACACAGTGGCCAAATGCTATCGCTGGGGTCGGAAGCAAGGGAAGTACTCATATATCCTGGACTGCAGAAGAGTAAAGCAGCCACACAGTCCCTGTGCACCCTTTTTGCTGGCAATACCTAATTGTCTGTAAAGGTGAGACAGTGCACCCGAGCCCCAAGAGTAAGTCCCAACTCTATCCAAGTCGTCGATCATCTCGTGTAGGAGTTTAGGACCCACCCTGCTACCACTCTTGACCACTAACAAGGTGGTACCTAGCAGCACCCACACGTAGCCTCAT